TCACGAAGTTTCCAGTTATTCTCGAAGAGTCGGAGTGATTGCGGCAATGCAGAATTCTTCTATGTTCCAAGCATCCGAGCAAGGTGTTTACTCGAGTTTGATTATGGTATTCTGAGGGGACTTGTGGCCCGAGTTTAGGCCTTTTCACATTACCGGGATGACAAATTCTAAGCTTCTTTTTTTTTTCTTCTATAAGGTTCGGTGTATAGGTAGCGAGTGGAATGGCAATACATTCATTGGTGAAACAATGGCCACTATCATCTTTGGTATCGAGGACACGGTGTATTTGATCGGGCGTGAATACTATCGTTTGTGTGGTATTTGAAAAACATATTGCTGATAGCATTCAGAGATCATTCGTGCACACATCGCAAAATTACCCCCGCTCGGGTCTCAACACATGCCAAAATTAACAAAGACCATAGAATGTCACCCGTATCCAGAGAGATTAGTCATCCGAATGTACAACCACACTATCATTTTCAAACAGCGACTCGGGTCGGGTCAAAATCGGGTTTGACTCATTTTGACTCATTTGACCCGTTTAATATTTTCAGTCTGAGTCTAAAAATAAAAAACTTTTGATTTTTAATAATTTTATTAAAAATAATTTTTATTATGATGATTTTTAGATTTATGCCATAATGAAGTTTTCAAAGCCGATAATACTTTTCATCTATATTCGATTTAATGGGAATAGCCACTAAATTTCAAACTAACTTTATATTTTAGCTAATTAATAACATGTATAAAATTTCATAATATATTGAGTAAATAAAGAGCAAAATATAAACTTAAAATCGTACAAATATTTTAATTCTAAACAGTTAACCATTATTCCTGATGTTTTAAACACAATGCTATCTTGACTAATAACAAAGACCTAATGCCAATATAAATGAATGGATTTGTATGCTAAACCCTTACGAATCAGCGGGCGACGTAAAAGAACTTGACACTCGTTCGCAAATGACAATGGATGTATATAGCAATATTCAGATATTATAGTAAATCAATCTCTCATGATAGGAGACCAATGTTATTATGCTTTTCCTTCGTTAAATAATATCCAGTTTCCCTCTCCTAGCATTTTGCTGGTCTTCGGTCATGAATTGCGGAATGTCATTCTCCTTGATACCCGCATGAAAATTGAAGGCAAAAAACTGAATCTCAACACATACGGGCTAGAAACCCGATCAGACTTGTCAAAATTAGAATTGAGTTGGTAATATTTTCTTATATAAACATATAATCATTACCTTTCTCCATTCGGCCTCTCAACAAATAACAACAGGTATGTTCGCTTGCACTCTAGCAAAATAGATACCACCTTCAACATCTTAGAAACCTTATGAGATCGATAAATTACAGCTTTAGGTATTTCC